GGGCAATAGGGCCTCCACACACTTGCCTGGGAGTCCTAGCTTCTAAGTCTAGTGTAAAGAGCCTTTTAGTGAATGAAGAGAAAGAGAAAGTGTGCCTGGAAGGCAATGCTTCTCAAAGTTTACTGTGCACTTGACTCACTTCTTGTTATGTGCCGTTGAGTCGGCCCCAACTCATAGTGACCCCTCCTTGGGTTTCCGAGGCAGTATCACTACGGAAGTAGGATTGCCCAACCTTCCTTCTGAGGAGTGGCTGGTGGGTTTGAACCGCTAGCCTTCTGGTTAACAGTCAAGTGCTTTAGCCACTATGCTACCAGAGCTCCTTGACTCACTTGGGGACTTTGTTAAAACGCAGATTCTGATTCAGTAGGTCTGGGTTGGGGCCTGAGTTTCTGCATTTCTAGCAAGCTTTCAAGTGCTGCCCATTTTGATTTGTAAGGGTTTAGCCTCTTCTGTTCTTAGCAGCTCATGGGATGCCTGGCACAAAGCATGCTTCTTAAAGTTACAGCAAACAAATAAATGAGTAGATGACTGAAAAAATAAGCTGAGTGCAGGGCTTTCTGTTACATAAATATCACCACAGATGCTTCGGTGGCGTAGTGCCTAAGGCACTTGACTGCTAACCAGAAGGCTGAAGGTTCAAACCCACCAGCCACTCCTCGGAATTAAGACTGGGCAATCTACATCCGACTCCAGGGCAGTGAGTTTGGTTTGGTTTTTTAACCTCTCCCCTCCCCCTGGAGTTCCTAAATCAGTAGGTCTGAGGTGGAGATACGGTATTTGCATTTTCAATGCACCCCTTAAGCGATTTCTTTGCTCAGGAACATTGGTCTAAGGAGCGGGCTGGGTGGACACTGAAGTCTGAGTCCAAGATGCACAAAGGGGAAAAGTGAAGGCCAGGGGGTAGGGGTGGGAGGTGTTAAAGCCATGAGTTCACTCTCAGGAGAGGTCCAGACCTTTGAGACACCTGCTGAGAGAGGTCAGGCCTCGCACCGGGGTCAGGGCCCCCAGGGATGGGGGACCAGGTCGCTGGAGGGCTTAGCTGTCTCACCACTTGAAGACCAGGTTGAGCCACTCAGTGATGAGGCTGATCCAGAGCACCGCGATGCCCACGCGGCGAGAGATGTAGTAGGTCGCGGGGAAGTAGAACAAGAAGAGACACTTGGGATCGCCCAGAAAGGTGACCCAGAGCCACACATTCTCCAGCCCAGGCATCTGGTTCTGCAGCGCCTCAGCCACTGCGATGCCCGCACCCTGCGCCGATTCCATGGCGACCAGGGGGCTGCCCAAGCTGCGGTCTGCTCTAGGGCTGAAGTTGAGGAGACCCGGCGATAAGGAAGAGCTACCAGTTACCCTCCGAGCCCGCTCTTCCTAGCGCCAAGCCCCGCCCTCCCCACCGGCCGCCGGCGCCCAGGCCCCGCCCCGGGCAGGCCCAGGCTCGCGTGAGTCCCAGCTCTCGCCGGTACGGTTTCCTCTTGCGCTCTTCCCCTGACCCCTTCTCTACTGGGCAGCGCAGGGGACAAACTTTTACAAAGCGTTTCCGCAGGGCCCCCACGTGGCCGCTGTTGCCAGCACGTGGGCAGCTGGCGCAGAGGCAGCACTGGCTGTTGTTCCGGGTCAAGGGATGCGCTAACTGGCGGGTCTCTGCTCTGCTGTTGTGAAGACAGATGTGTAATCTCTAGGGCTAGGATTCCGTCTAGACCTGACCTCTCTTCTCCAGTATTGCTACCCTCCAAAACAATTTTTTTTTTTTTTGGGAGGACTACGAATACCTCCTCTTCTAGGAAGCCAGGCATCCCTGGTCAGAGAGGAGGCAGGACTCTCAATTTGCATATATGCATACATCGCTGTCTATCTATGCCTTTCTCCTCCAGCCCACGACTCCTGCCCTAATTTATCTGCTATTGATTTGGAAGCGTCTTTCCTAAAGACTGGCAAATTCTTGCACACAGCCAACAAAGTCACATTTCCTCCCACTTCTAATCCTTCCTCCTGCGATCCAAAACCCCGCTGGGAAGATAAACTAAGAGATAGTAAAGGTGTTGGTATGGGGAGAGGAGCGGGACACACCCACGAGGGAGTGGAAGATTGCTCTGGAAGAACACATAGAATAGAAATCTCAGCTATTCTGGGCGAGGTCTTGCTTAGAGGCAGAGATGGGGGTGGGAGGCGACTGTTGAAGCTGCACCTGAGTTCCTTCCTACCTCAAGCAACTTTGTTCTTGGACAGTTTTCTGATGGCCAGATGAAGATGAGAATGCAAATCTGGGTTCTTCTTGGAAAGAGATTAATTTTACTAATTAAAAAGGTGTGGGAACACTTGTGGCTTCCAACCAAACAAAAGACAGGCATATGAGTGGAACATTTACCTGAGGTAGATACACTCCTTGGAGAGAACAATCATGGGAGAAAGAAGGGCTGCTTATGCACAGGGAGACAGATCAGGGGGCAGGAGTGCGTGAAGGGTGGACACAGGGAAGAGGTAACTATGGAGAGGAAGTGGGAGGGGAGCTGTTGCATTGTGGTAAATTGTAGTCAATGTCATGAGACAAAGTGTATGTGAACTACTGTATGGAAAGTGAATTTGCTCTGTAAATCTTCACCTAAATCACAATAAAAAATTAAAAAAAAAAAAAAAAAGGTGTGGGAAAAGGAGGCTGGATATAGCTCCCGGATAGATACATCTCACTCCCTTGCTGAATGTTTTCCAGTTGGCCCCAGGAGAAAGCCTAAATTTGTTGCAGTCTTTCGAAGTTTGGAGCAGCCCCAGTCTCAACCTTCACCAGCCTGACCCCCATGCTCCCTGATATATTTCTGAGTTATTTTCCATTTCTTGACATTGACAAGCTCCCTCCTTCAGGGATCCTGATACATAGAGTTCCTTCTGCCTGGAATACAACCACCCTGTTTCCCTGGTGGACCTTCAGGTCTCAGTTTAGATTTTTAATTTCTTCAAGGAAGCCTCACATCACAATGCCATATAAAAAGTGGAGTAACAATTACATATGATTTGCCATGGGAGCCAGAGGGTAAGGATGAGAAATGGAAAGGTTTTCTGAAAAACACAAGCAAGTGGGAGCAGTAGTTTTATTTCTGTTAGAAGGATTGTAACAATACCTCCAACACCAGGAAGCTCATGCTTCTTGCAGGGCAAGGAAAAAATTTTCACTTTTGTTCAGATTAAGTGATGCCAAGGCTGGCCCTCTGCCTCCCTGTGGACCAGAGAAAGGTCAACCTGTTGTTCCTCCTAAGTAAGGCTCCAGAATTTTTATGTTAGGAGGGGTGCATAGGCTAGGGATGGCACTTGGTTGGGATGGGGGCATCAGCTCACAAAAAAAAAAAAAAAACCCTCATTGCTGTTGAGTTAAATCTGACTCATAGTGACCCCACCTTGGGTTTCCAAGGCAGTATCACCATGGAAGTAGATCACCCAATCTTCCTTCCAAAGAGTGGCTGGTGGGTTTGAACCTCTAGCCTTCTGGTTAGCAGTCAGATGCTTTAGGCACTACGTCACCAGAGCTCCTAGTACCCTACAAAAGATTAAGAAATCAACTGTTTTGGATATCAGGTGGCGATTAATGGTGTGTGTGGGGGGCAAAGTCTCCCTCACTATCATGGCTTCTCACTCCTGCCCTCCCTTTCCTTGGCTTGGTGGGGGAAACAGCAAGTAAGGAGTTGGGGGAGTGTCTGGATTAAAAAAAAAAAAAAAAAAAAAAAACTCAACTGCCATCAAATCTATCCCAACTCACAGTGACCTTACAGAACAGAGTAGAACTGCCCCCACAGGGTTTCCAAGGCTGTAAATCTTTAGCACCTGGTGGGTTTGAACTACTGACCATTATTACAATTAGCAATCCAATACTTTAACCACAGTGCCACCCAACCTCCTTCAACATTGATTAGAGACCTCCTAGTGCCATTTTTAGACAGGAGCTCTGGTAGTGTAGTGCCTAAGGCACTTGACTGCTAACCAGAAGGTTGGTGGTTCAAACCCACCAGCCACTCCTCAGAATGGAAGATGGGGAGATCTACTTCCTTAGTAATACTACCTTGGAAACCCAAGGAGGGGTCGCTATGAATCAGATTTGATTCCCCAGCAGTGAGTTTGGTTTTTGGTAGAGGAGCGGGCAATCTACTTCGGTAAAGACTTATCTTCTTGGAAACCCCAAAGTGGGTCGCTATGAGTCGGAATTGACTCAATGGCAGTGAGTTTGGTTTGGTTTTCTATGTCATGCAGAGCTCTAATAGAGTACTCACTCTCACTGCCCACGAGTCGCATAGGGCTCATAGCGACCCCTCCTTGGGTTTCCGAGGCAGTATCACACAAAAGTAGATTGCCCAACCTTCCTTTCAAGGAGTGGCTGGTGGGTTTGAACCACCAGCCTTCTGGTTAGCAGTCAAATGTCTTAGGCACTATGCCACCAGAGGTCCTCTAATATAGTATAGCAGTGAATAACACCATATTTGGAAAAAGGCATACCGTGTCCTGCCACTTGCTAGTTGTGTGATCTTGGATAAGTTTAGTCCAAGTTTTCACCTGCAAAATGGGGGATATTAATTGTTACCTCAAAGAGTTATTGGCTGCTCAATAAGCAATAAAATAGATACAAATAAATAGGCTGATAGGGGTTTAGTAATTTGCTCAAAGTAAGTAGTATGTGGCCGGTCTGGAATTCCAATTCCTGTTTATCTAACTCTATAAACAATGTTATTTCTACAATCATTTTGTGAATAGGTGTAATTATCTTGAGCAAGTTTCGTTAAGTCCTCTGGGCCTCGGACTCCCCACAAGTAAAATGTAAAAGGGATAATATATATTACTTTATAGGGTTAATTCATTAAACTCTCTTCGAGTACAAGGTGTGTACATAATGGAGACGGCAGGTTCCTCCTATTTTCCCGTTTTCATTTCACGTGGGTCATTTATCTTTAACGGACAACCGGGTGTCGGTGCAGAAACATTATTTCTTTAGCTTTCCCCTTTATTTCCTCTTCCACTTAGGCTCCCGCCCCACCCTGCACCAGGCCACGCCCAGGCGCGTGACATCAGCACGCCCGTGCGTCGCGTCGCGTCGCGTCGCGGCGCTCACTGGGGCCCGGCTTTCGCCCGCTGCTGCCGCCGCCGCCGCCGGCTGCGGCTGCTCTCCCAAGATGGCGGCTCCTCCTGGCGAGTACTTCAGCGTTGGGAGCCAGGTGTCGTGCCGGACGTGCCAGGAGCAGCGGCTGCAGGGCGAGGTGGTAGCCTTCGACTACCAGTCCAAAATGCTGGCTTTAAGTATCCTTCTCTGCGTGGAGTCCGAGGCCGGGCCGGCGTGTCTGTGTAGTGGTGGAGGGTGGGGGACGACGGCGGCGGCTGGGGCCCTCTCCGGGCCTAGGGGCGACCGGCTACCGCGGCGCTTCGGGCGCATGCGCACGACCCTGAGCTCCCTTCCCCCTCCCGCGGCCCTATCGGTCCGCTTTGGGCAACCTGTCTCCCAACCCTGGCTGGAGTCGAGGAAGGGTCGGTGGGTAGAGAGGGGCTTGACATATGGATGGCTTTTCGGAGGAGACCCAGTGATGGGAAAGAGGTGGTGGTAGTGGGAGGGGGGCTGATGAATTGGAGCCCGGATGGAAGCGGGGCGGGTAAGATCAAGTGGAGAGGGGGTGTGTAGGGTAAGGAACTTCCAGTAGAGCAAAGATATGGCCCGGGTTTAGGAGGGGGCTGTTTACTGATGGAATTTGGTCCGAGGAAGGGACAGAGAGATAGTGACCAAATGGGTCCTGGTCATTTTGGGGAAGGGTAAGTGCAGGGCAGAGTTTGAATTGGGGATAGTGGCATCTTTTCCCGAAGCGTCTGTATGTGTGGTGCTTTTGGGATGGGGGTTGCTTGTAGGCTTCTCTGTCATTTGAAAATTGTCGTTTTGGGATGTGTGTGTCGGAAACCTGGTCAGAGCGGTCTTGCCACGTTTTTCAGGGGCTTGAATAGGGATGTGTGGGTTACAGGTTAAAGAGTAAGTTCTGATCTTCTCTTGCTCAGCCCAGTAGTTAGAGTCCTGACTTTTCGATAGTAGAAGTCTCCTCTTTTTGAAAGTGATAGTGCTAAACTGAATGGAAAAAGGTGCCCTGCTTCTTTGGGGTAGAAATAATTTTTGAGCTAACTCCAGGAAACTCAATCTTGGAACAAAATACTTGCTCGTTGGAATTAATGTGATTTCTTAACCCCTTTCATTCGAGCTACCAAATCTCAAAAAAAGCAAACTTACTGCCACCGAGTCAGTTCCGACTTATGGAGACCCCCATTGGGTTTCTGAGGTGGTAAATCTTTACAGATTGCCCAGTTTTTTTTCCACGGAGTGGCTGGTGGGTTTGAACTGGAACCTTCTGGTGAGCAGTCAAATGCTTTAGGCATCACACCACCAGAGCGCCTTATTGAAGCTACAGGTGCATTTATTTGGGCATGTTTGTAGGGGAGGTAATGTTTTAATCCTTATTGAATCTTTCAAAATGAAGTTGCCTATTGAGTCTGCTGCCTTTGAGTGGCAAGTATTTCAGTTCATTTAACCACTAGTTATAGATTTTTAGTTTAGGAAGATAGCCTCTGAAACAGCTAATTACAGCAAGGACAGTTGCTTTCTCAAAAAACCTGGACCTAATAAGACCCTTACATTTAGTGGTTTAGATGGAAGAGGTTTTGGAATGAGGAATGAATCTACTTTCCTTTCAGTGGCATTCTGTAGGCACTTGGTAAATGGTTGGAGAATGAGTCAATGAATGAATGGTAACTAGCCAGATGAGTTTCCTTTCCAGTGCTGCAGTTTTCTCCTCTGTAAAATGGGAAATCTCGGATCGAAGAAGGTGAAATGAGAGTATTACGCCAAGAACAGAAAATACTGGCTCTGCTGTCGTGTGGTTCGTAAGTTCCCGACAAGCAGTAAACGAAAGGCATTGAAATTGCATTGTACTCTCCATGAAACAGAGAGAAAGTGACAAACCCTTTGGAAGCTTCCAGATTTTGTGCTTGGGTTTGAAAAGCTCAAAGTCCTTTGGTTGTGGGGTTGGGCAGGAGGAAGGTGAGAGGCAGAGATTTCTGCGAATGGTGATCCTTGTGAGACTTCCTCTCCCCCTTACTTGCGGCACACCTGTTACAGGAACTTTGTGTGAATTGTGTTTTCCATGCTGCTTTTGGGATGTGTCAGTGCCTCCGCTTGCTCTTGTTTTCCTTAACTTTATTTTCTCACTAGAATGTCCTTCCTCAAGTGGAAAGCCCAACCATGCAGACATCTTGCTCATAAACTTACAGTATGTTTCAGAAGTGGAAATAATTAATGACCGAACAGAAACCCCTCCTCCTCTAGCTTCACTCAATGTTAGTAAGGTAAGGACTTGAGGGGTAGATCTGGCTGACCAAGATGATGGGGGGATGAGTCTCATTGACTCTTGATGATACATCCATTGTCCACTGTCTGTTTTTTGTTGACTTAAAATTGTTTGTTCTGATACCTTTTTTAAAAATATGTCACCTTAGTTTTTGTCTTTATTTTTGGGTATCTTCAGTATATCTTAAGAAACATCTTAATGCTCAAATAGAATTGAGAGTGTGTTTTTGTCATATGTGAAAGAGCCTTTTTTTTTAAAAAAATACAAAAACAGTCTGGTGGCAGCGGGCTGGGCTGAGCTGGGGATCTTGCTTGTGAACCTCCTGAAGTTAAGAGTATGTGTGTATGTGTGCACACCTGAATATATGCGTTTCCTAGGTGAGGAGCTGGAGTCCTTAGTCAGATTCTCAGAGGGATTCATGACCTACAAAAGTTTGAAAACCACTTCCTTAGAGCTTCATTTGTATCTTTATGTTTGAATTTTGAGGTCTGGCAAATTTACTTCTTTAGGGTGTTTTAATCTTAGGTGTAGAAATTGATCTCTGGGAACATCAAATCACTTTTTTGATTCTTCAGCTCCATAAGCCAAAGTTCATGTTGATCAATAATAATAATAATGCCCCAAGCCTGTGCTGTCCCCTGTATTTGGTACACCCTTCCAGAATGATTGGTGCCTTATCCATCAGAAATCAGCTTAAATGGCACCTCTTCCAAGAAGTCTGATCACCCAGGCTAATTTTCCCCCATTTCTCTCATAGTACCTTGTTCTTTGTAGCTAAGGTGACTATATCTGTTGTCTAAACTAGGACAGTTTTGAGAGTATAGGGGTGTGCTTTTGTTTATGCTAGGACAGCCTTTATAGATGCTTGTGTCCCATGCAAAGTGAAACCTCAGATCACCTTATCACAGCCTTCTTCGTAATTATAAAAAAAACAAACTCATTGCTGTCGAGTCATTTCAACTCATAGTTATACTTGTATGTTATTTATTTGCCTGATGGCTAGCCATACCACACTTTGTCCTGTGAGGGCAGGACCCATACCTGTTTTGTTCACCTCTGAATATACAGAGCCTTGTGCTTAATAAATATTTCTTGAATGAATAAGTTGTGCCTTTAATTTTAGTAGCAGCTGCTGTTTCTTAACTCTCTTGCATTAGTGTGGTAGAAGTTTTTCCCTCTGGAGGAGTCTTGTAATAACATACATTCTCTTCTCTTGGGAGTATGGTGTGTTCGTTACAGTTCAACAAAGCAAGGAAACAGGCAGCTGAACCACTAATGGGTAATGGAGGCTAGCAGATAGTAGAATGTAGTTCCACCTCAGATCTGGAACCCTCTGCAAACCAGATTCCAGGAAAATGCCACATTCGTTAGTGATGGCTGAGGACAGATTCAGAAGGGTCTTGGATTTCATATTAAACACTGTGGTTGCTTATAAGACATCCTGTTCATAGAAGCCTATTTAAAAAAAAACTCATTGCCAATGAGTCGTTCCTGACTCATAGTGACCCCTCTTTGGGCCTGTAGGTTTCCCAAACCCTGGCTTAGTTAGATACCTCCTACTAGAGTACAGGCATTCTTTGGGTGGTCTTCTGTTAGCTCAAGAGATTTCAAAAGATCTCAGTGAAATAGTTTGCTTCTTATTATGTTAAGTAGAAAATAGGCTCTAAGTTATCCTTTGGTGTTTATAGGGTATGAAAGTCTGTCATTAAATAACTGGACTTCTAGTGAGTAGGAGCTCTGGTGGCATAGTGCCCAAGGCATTTGACTGCTAACTAGAAGGCTAGCAGTTCAAACCTATCAGCTATTCCTCGGAAAGAAGGTTGGGCAATCTACTTCTGTAGTGATACCGTCTTGGAAACCCAAGGAGGGATCGCTATGAGTTGGATCTGACTTGATGGCAGTGAATTTGGTTTTGGTTTTCTAGTGAGCAGTAGGGGAAGGATGATCTGAAGGAGGTATGCTTTTCTCACATTTAAAAGATAATAGGTTTCTGTGCTTGTGACCAACACATTGCTACCATTTATCAGAGGGGTTGGAGTGGTGCCATTGGGCTGCTAAGTAGGACCTTGTAAGAAGCAATTCCCTTCTGTGGCTATTGGATCTCAAAGATAATTGAGTAATTTATGGTTGCTCTTTGCTTTTACGGTTTTGCTCTTTATTGGTTATGTTTTTTGGTTGTTTACGAACATTGTTAACTAGTTGTTTACCCACTTCTTCAGGAAAGTAATAGATTGGAGAATACCAGAAATCTTAACTTTTCTTACTTTGTGGCCTGCTTGCCAATTCTCGAAAAAGGTTTGCTAGGAAGAGGAGGCAGAAACTAGAAACTAAAATTAGGTTGGAGGGTTATCTTTGGACTTCATTTATTCATTCTTCTGCTTGCAGAGTAAGCTATATTGGTTTTCCCTTGAAACCAACCTTTTAGGATGCTTTTCCAGTCCTCTGATTCAGTTAGAATTAGAGCTGTCACTGAAAACAGCTAATCTGGGCAACTATCTATATACTGCTTGAATGACAGGAAAAGTTCATCTCATTTAAAAGCTTGTACTTGAGGATTTCTTAAAATGGAGGATGGTTGAAGCACATAAAAAGGATCTAAAGAATGCTGAGCTCCTGGAAAAAAGCTTTTGAAGCCAGTGCTTCAGATGTTTGCAGTCTGGGGGGGGGGGCACTTATTGTGCTTCTATGGGTGATACCATCACACATTGGCTCCTCTTGCTGACCTAGTAAGTGCTCTGCTTAATTAAACCTGTTGCTATAAATTAGGTTATTTGTTTACTTTGTTCCAGCAGGAAATGGAAGAGAGGGCCTTTTAAAGGAAATACTTACTCTAGCCTAACTAGAAAAGATATGAACCAGCAAGTTCTTGGAGATGAGCCTGTTTGCTGTTGATTGGCGACTCGCTGCAGGCTAACAAGATAATAGAGGAAGCTTGGAAGGGGGCACTGAGGTTGGAGAAGAGGAAAGTTTTGAATATCATCTTACCTTCTCTAGCGTAATATCATACCCTGTTAAAGTGTTCTGAACTTCCTGACTATAACACAGAAGCAAGCATTCAAGTGAAAGTCTAAAAGCAAACCAAAGCTAGTCATAAATAATATTCAGGTTATTCACCATTGTTGCTTATTCTTCATTTACTGTGTCACAGAAGGCTTAAATATTGCTTGAGGACTACAGCCCTAATAGCCTCATGGTAGGGTGAAGCAGAGTGTTTGCTAATGAGTTCCATGAATTAACTCAGCCTCTTGTTCTGTGGGTTAGTATGCTCAGATGATTTGGGACATGTCAACATTAACAAGATCTTTCATGTAGCCCTTATCAAACATTTATTGAAAAATCTATTGTGGAGAAGGCATTGTGGTAAGCTTTGCTGGGGACTGTACATTTTCCTAGGGTTTTACAAAGAGATTTGACAATATCTCATTTCATCCTATGTATTAGAGTTTTTAGGGTTTTCTCTCTTTTAGTTTAATCTATGAGAAAACTGTCTTATCCGATTAAGTGATTTGTTCAAGGATATATGGCCAGTAGTGTGGGAACTAGTATTTGTATGTGCCACGCTCTGAAGTAGTCCTTTCGTTTAATTCTCACAACAGTTCTTATGGTGTGGATACCATCACCAGCTTACAGAGGAGTAAACTGAGGCTCTAGCTTAAGGTTATGGAGCCTAGTAAGTGATAGATCTGGGCTTTGAACTCAGGTCTGGTATTTTGACGTCAAAGTTCCTTGGTTTTTCCATTTCTGTGTGCTTAGCCCAAGGTGCTTGTATATAGAGTAGTTTGGTGAAGTGAAATGAATATCTAGATGCCTGCAATATTAAATAATGTTTCTAAGTAAATAGAAATATCTATGTTGTATGATACATTTGCTGTTTTAACAGTGGGACAGTGTGGTCTAGTGTAAAGAACCTAGGACCAGACCAAGCAGATCTGTCTTTAAGTTACTTATCCCCATCACTCTTACTGAACATCAGTTTCTTCAACTATACAAATGGGAATAATGTTCCATCTCAGGGTTGTTATAAGGATTATGTTAAGTTGGCTAGGATCAGCAGTTGTTGGTACTGTCCTCCCACACTGGCTATGTGTAGCGAACTGATGCTCCTTGAATTGGGGGATATGAGGGTGGGGGCAATGGGACAAAGGAAAGCAGCTAGGAACTTTGATGTTACAATGTCGGGTCTTCCTGGCATTGGATCTGACGTTCATTTAGAAATCTGAACTTGCTAGCCGAAATTGGGAAAATCTAGATTATATTGAATACCATTATTATATTATACTTAAAAAAATGTTGTTAAGAGCCATTTTATCAGTGACCAGAATTAACTTTCCAGGACAGTATTATCAGATGGCATAGTTGAGTAAACCCTTGCCTGAGTACTGGAGGCTGGAGTGAGCAGTCACAGAACCTAGGCGCCTGTGCTTTCTGCCTTGGAGACTGCAAGCAAAGGACTTGTTGACACAGCCAGCCAGTGTCATAATCATTTGTTTAGATAAATGCACCCACTGCATTGAATGGAAGGTAAGTCTTCTTATCAATTTGCTGAATTGGAAAATACTTTCTGGAGGAGATAACTGGAGGTGGGGAGGAAAAGGGACAGGGCATGGACAATTGAAATCCATAGGCAATACAAAATTTAGGCATTTGTCTGCCCTACTGAACCACTGACTGATTTGTCAGCATCTTCTATCCATTTATCCATTACTTACAAGCAGTGAGGAGCTCTGGTAGCCTAGTGGTTAAACACTCGGCCACTAACCAAAAGGTTGGTGGTTTGAACCCACCAGCCGCTCTGGAGGAGAAAGATCTGGCAGTCTACTTCCATAAAGATTCCACCCACCAAACCACTGCCATCTAGTTGATTCTGACTCATAATGACCCTATAGGACAGAGTAGAACTGCCCCATAGGGTTTCTAAGGCTGTAAATCTTTACAAAAGCATACTGTCTCATCTTATGTAGAGTGTCTGGTAGGTTTGAAATGCCAGCCTTTTGGTTA